TATATATATATATATATATATATATATATATATATATATTATTGAATTTTTTTTAATAAAATATTTTTAAAGAAATTTCAGATATTAAATCAATAACAATATTTTAGGTATATACAAGACGATTTTGCTGTTCTTGCAAACTGTGACATTAGTTATCATTAAGGTTACATTATTTAACAACTCTAAATCAAGAGAGTAGCTTTTGCTAAAAAAAAACTAAAAGAGAAATATTTAAAAAAAACTGATGTTACATCAATTGTCTATTAATTAATTTAGAGGTCCAATAGAACCACCTAGGTATTCATTTAGCGGTCCAAACCCTTAATATGGTTGACAAACTAGAGAGGAAAAAATCAAACAGTACAATTACACAATTTATATTATGGAAGGCCACACCAAAAAATAATGATTGCCATATATAACACCCTACAACTAATTAGATTTATTAGCCCACGAAGATTCAAGATTAGTATTTATTAAAATTCAGTGCAAAAAACTAAATTATTGATAGTAAATAGATTCAACATAGAAATTAAAATTCTGATACCAAATAAATAAATAAATGAAGGAAATAAAGTAAGTAAGAACTAATAAAATATTATATTAAAAATCAATTATCTAAGAATTATAAACTTTTAACTATAGTCAATTCTAATGGAGCAAAAAATACTATTTTATGTTACAAAATGATGAAATATGATTTCATTGTTACACTATCAGTACATGTAATTAACTTTATTTTGAAATTTCAAATTTACAAAAGCGCAGCACATGTAAATTTGAAATTTCAACATTCAAATTTAAAAATTAATGTACCAGATTCTTTCTGTTATTCCATTTGAATACCAGGCATTCGAATTCTCTACCACACATAGAATAATAAAATTAGAACAAAAAAGTTTTCAAAAAATTTTTTGATACATTTCTGCAAGTTTCAAATATATATCAAGGCAATAAATTTGTTGCCCATTCTAATGATTTTAGTGACATTTGTAGATCATTTGGCGACAATCTCACCATATCGCTATACTGGCATGAATCCTAATTAGACGTTATCTCTTTAACTAGCATTATAAACTTATACAAGATAGATGAGTCAATTTATACAGAAATTCTTCAACTGAGCTATTTTTTTTTTTTCTTATCGCATTGATACTACTTTGGACTAAGTTTAAAATTAAAATGTTCACAGTGGAAGGTAACCTATAGCTAGGTGTGCACAACCTTTTGGAATGAAGGGCCATTTAAAAAAATTTATAGTGATTAAATAAAAACCAAAAATTAAAACAAAACAATTATAGTTCAAAATAAGATGAAATATTTATTTGGTATTATTCTGCATATATTATTTCTATTTCTTGATTTATTAGAGGTTTTATGAATTTCAAATAGGAATCTTTTTCGTTGTTTTCTTAAAAAAAAAGATCACCTAAAGCTAAAAAAAAATTTCAAGCAAAATTAATTACAAACAGTGAATAATTTAAAATGTCTCATTTTCCTCAAGTTTTCGAATTTTTAATAGTGCAATAACATTATATTAAAATTTTGGGGTTCTAAGTAGTACGTACAAATGGGGGTGCCAACTGCCGAAAAAATGACAGAAAAATATGGTACATTTAATACCTAAATAGTATCAAATAGTGATGATTTAAAAGCGGGATTTAGAAATTCGCTTGTCGTATTAAACCTCATAGTTAAAGTAACGGCATTCTCCAAATCACATTGAAAAGCGTTGTAATAATTGCAAAAAATAAACTAATAAATAAAGAAGAAGAAAATAAGAGAAATTGATTAAATTTACGATGAAATTAGTATGAATAAAAATAAATAATTATTAAAATGATTTATTTAAAATTTGCAAAAATCCTAATTTTTTAAAACATGTGGGAGTGCACAGCAGCAACTGCCGAAGAAATGACTAAAAAATAATTTAGATTTACATTGAAACTGGCACAAGAGCAGCAAAAAGTGATCAATTAAAAGTGCATTTAATACATAAGGAGCAATATTGCAATAAATGTGTCAAGAATTTATAAACCACGAGTAAATTAGTAGTAATAAATCCAAAAGAACGATCTAAACGTCACTTAAATTTAACATGAAATTGGCAAAAACTGAAAATGTCAAAAAGTGATCAATTAAATGAGCAACTTGAAATCTGCATGTTGTAATAATATTGTAATAAAAATAAAGGATTTTCAAAATTACATGGAAAAGCATACCAGTAACTTCCTTTCAAAAAAAGATGAAATTAGCACAAATAACGAACGTCAAAAAGTGATTAATTAGATACTCACAATTTATAACTCACGATTCGTAGTATCATAATAAACGCATCAAAATTTTAAAAACCACATGGAAATTGTACTGTGAATGGAAAACAAATTACCTAAACATCACTAAGATTTATGATGAAATTGGAAAAAATAAAGCACGTCAAAAAGTGATGATTCATGTGTGCGATTTGTAGCTCGTGTAATAATATTGTAATAAAAATATCAAATTTTTCAAATCCAGAGGAAAAGCGTAGAAATAACTGCCTTCAAATAAAATCATTCAGTTTCATGACGAAATCGGCACAAAAAAAGAACGTCAAAAATTATCAATTAGATGCATGATTTATAACTCACGAGTCGTAATATCGAAATAAATGTATCAGAATTTTAAATTCGAAATAACAATTAAAACGTCACTCGGATTTATAATCAAAGAAGCAAAAGTAAATCGAATCAAAAAGTGATTACACTGATTCTAAATTTTCGTATCGTAACATCGTATTCAAAATATTGGATCTTTTAAAGACAGGGTTGGAGTTTTTGCCGGCAAAAAGGGGGTTTTGCCAGGACAGTGGCAAGAACCTGGTAAAAACCGGCAAAAACTGGTAAAAACCCGCAAAATCCAAATTATCTAAATTGCTGATTAAATATTACTACAAAATACTTGAAACAATTTAAATCAATCATAAGGAATAATAATTTTGACACATTACATGAAAAAATTATTTTTAACGTATTAATAGTTAATATAAAGGCAATAATTTTTAAAACATTGAAAGTTTTTGACCTCTTTTCATTTTAGAATCCTTAAATAAATGTTTTTTTTACAAATAAATAAATATTATTATTCATATAATATTATCATTATTATATTATAAAAAAATTATTATTTGCACAATAATTAACTACACATCTTGATAGATATTTTATGCTTTAAATTATAGTTATATTAATTTAAAATAAGTTCATTTCACTGGAAAAAAGAGAATGATCACAAATTTTCCAATCAATAATTTTTTAAACTGCTAAAATGATATATTATTAAATTATGATTTAATTATGGAATAATTATTTTGTTAATTTTTTTGTAATTATTTATATTTATAGTATATATTTCAATTTTAGGAATAATTTTGTACCAAAAATGTGTTTTTGTCCTCTCATCTTGGAAAATATAGGTTTTTGCCACTTTTTGCCAATTTGCTTAGCAAAAACACTTTTTGCCAATTTGCTTGACAAAAAACCTGTTTTTGCCAGGGCGGTTTTTACCGGTATTTAGCATGGTTTTTTCCACCTGCGGCAAAATCTTGCCAACCCTGTTTAAAGCTATGTAGACATGTAGCACAAAAAAACATATGTAAGTTATGCTTAGATTAAAATGATTCAGAAGAAAACACAGGGGGAGATTTCCGTATCGTGATCGGTGGCAGAATAATCGCCAAGTCTTGGAAGCTTCCTGGCAGTGACCCACGAGAAACTTAAAAAAACATCACAGAACTCAAAAGGCATAACTCGTAGCCACCCCTAGGCAAACATCTATGTGCTTGTTTGCTTTTTTAAATTTGGAAGTCTAAAATCTATTTTGCACCTAAGTGATTGTAGTTGGCGCGACAGATCATGATACGGAAATATCCCCGAAAACAGTCCGTCAAGTGAACTACCTGCAATAAATAAATAAAAATTCTTCATCTATATAGAAACTAAAAACCACAAAGATTAATTTTACACCCCTTTTAGCTCTTTTGTTATTTTCACTGATCTTTTGATTTTGTCTTTGGATAACAGATAGATGAATGAAAGAAATCAATGGTGTTATTTTCCTCTATAAACTAGACTTATATCTTTCTTTATAGACTACAGACACTAGTAAAAAACACTCTAGCAAAGAGAAACAAAATTTGAAATTCAATACATAGTTATTGACACAAAATTCTAGAAATCGATTGAAGGTTACAAAAATTCAATATATTATGACAGAGGTAACAGTTTTAGGTTGGGAAAAATACACCTAGAATCACTTACGGAAGTGAATACAACAAAAACATTAATTCACTGTATAAGTACATTACCTCCAAATGACTTTATTTACAAGTGAAACTTACATAAAATTCTGACAATTCGCTTAAAACACTTTGAATTATTTTATACTTTAAAGATGAAAGTATCAAATTTTATCCCAATCTTATTTCGTAAAACTTTCGAATTACCTTTTTCTTCATTTTGATCTTTAGCAGAATGTCCAAGGCCAATTATCTTGCTGATAAATTAATTTGGTAAATGAATTTAAAATTCAAATAAAATTTAACAAAAGTAATAAAATACTACTTGAAATCGGATATAAGACAATTGTTACTATTTTTCTGCAAGCAATCACATTTGTTGCCGTTTCGTCGATGATTTGTTGTTAGATTGTCAACAGTTCCAAAATCACGTGAGAACTTGAGGAATAGTTGTTGCCAAAAACAAACCAAATGTTTGATAATAAAACTTAAAAATAAGCGTAGTGCGTCGATAAAGTAACCTGAAAAGAAATAACCTTAAAAAAATAGTTCTCTCGCCAAAATTTTAGGAGGAGGAAACAGAAAGCAGCAACCCCTAAAATAATAAACTATACACAACCAACTCGTTACCATTTATATTGCTATCTAGCGACAGCTATGAAAAGTTAAATTGATTCTTTCTTTTATCTAGGTTTTTTTTGGGGGGGGAGGAGATTTTTATAAAAGCTGTTTTTAAAGAATCTTTCAATAATTAAAAGATTTTTAAACAGGTATACGAGTTCGTTATAACTTAATGATATAAAAATTTTCAGCAAATTATTAATTTTGATTGACAGATTCGTACACCTATTCAGCCTTAAGAATGGAAATGAACCAACTTCCTTCGAACATAGAATGAATTTTAAGTTTCATTCATATTCTAAAATTTCTTCTTCTTCATCATCAAAAAAAAAAAAAAAAGCATCTTTAAATATGGATGCAAAATTTTAAGAAACGGAAAAACTTATAAAGTACTTTTAACGAAAATTCCGTTATTATTATTATTTTAATAATAATAATAGTATTTTGCAGATAATTGGCTTTTCTAGAAATAACTTGAGGTTAATAAAAAATCTCAAATCAAATAACTTAATAGAAATAAAATTACTTTTTATAATTAATATTTTACATGATGTAAATTAACTTAGAATAAGTGTTTGTAATTAGGTCAAATATTATTCGTTTAAAGTTTAACCAAATTTAAGTTAATTATTAACATTATTAGTGAAGAATTATTAGTTAAGAATTAAATTAACAAAATTAAGAAAATTTTATTAACTAAAAACTTATATTGCATGGTATCATTTATTAAATAAAATTGCTTTTAATAACAAATTGCTGTTTTTGTCTTTATTAATAAACTTGAACCGTTACCGTACATTATTTAAAAAATGTATTATTAAAATAGTAATGCATTCTTTTACAGAAAAATATAGTTAGCAGTTAATTATGAATGATAATGATATTAATATACTAAACGTTTTAATGTCTTTTTTGTGGAAATAGTAAATAAGAAAATTAAAAAAACTTTTAACTTTCTGGTACTAAATAAGATTTTGTTTTTTTGGCAGTTTCAATTTTTGTAATTTTCGACGTTTGTCGTCTAAAGTAACGCCAAATACATGATCTAGGCGTCAGTTTGCTTTAATAGGTGCAAGCACTTTATATCATTAGAAAATGCCCGCCTAACTTCTTTAATGCTCTTAAATTTAACGTGCTAGAAATAATATTAATTTTTTTAAAATAAAAACTGCAAAAACTCTCGATAAAAACTTTTCGTTTTTCTGGAGAAAAAAAAAAGGAAAAAGGAAAAAAAAAATGTCTTTGAAATTACAAAGACAGTGATTTAACGAGAAAGTATCCTCCGCGTTGTGTGTTATCGATAAAACAAGTCAAATTACGAATCTGCGACAAGATAATCTGAATTTTATTGATTTCAAGAAATAAAAACTTATTATATTTTAATTGACGTTCTCTCATTTTCTAATGCAAGATTTATTGGACAATATTTATTTAAAACTACAACGTTTAATGCTTCTGACGTTCAGACGCCCAAAATTTTTTTATAACTTATTTTACGGTTTAAAAATATTTTTTTAAAAGAAAAGAAAAATCTGTATATTATCAAATTAAAAGCAAAGACAAATGAACTACTTCATTACAAAAATAATATATATGTATATATATATGTATATATAAATATATATATGTATATATAGTATGTATAAATATATATATATATAATTTTTTTTTTCATTTTACTAACATGTTCATTAATCATTGTCTAAACAAAACATTATCTATCTTTAATTTATTCTTTTTTATTTGATTTTTATAAATTAAGATGATTAATAATAATTAATGTAAGTCTGCCTTTGTCTCTGTGGCAGAAAAATCTAAAATCCATAAATTTTACAGATGTTAAATACATTTTTTCCACATTTTTTAAAGATCTATAATATGTAAATTTCAAAATTTTGAAGGAAAACTAATTTATCTTTAAAAACTGATTTCGCTTTATCTTTCTGAAATTCAAATACCTGAAGTTAAAAAAAAAGCACGATTTTTTTTAAAAATTTAATTTCATTAAATTTCATATAAATCATAATAAATTGAATAATGTTAAGTATCACTGAGATAAAACCTCCTTATCGTCAGGATGTTATTGAAATGTTTTCGTGATTTTCATTTGTGCGTAACGGAAATTCTTATTGATTTCATTCAAAAAATCATTCATAATGATGATTTTACTCATGTATGTAAATTGCAACTTACTTGATATCTGGGTTGAGTTAAAAATTTCAGAAATAAGTAGAGCGTTTTACGACATTCACTAAGATGACAGGCTATGTATTAATTATGAATTTTACTCTTGTATTAAAATTGCAAATTATTTGATATATTGGTTGAGTTAAAAATTGCAAAAATAAGATGACAAGCTATATATAAATTATGAAAATAATTATTGATCATAAAAAAATTAATGATTATAAAAAAATAATTCAATTTCGGTAATGAGCATTTATCTGAAATCCTATTACCGTCAAGCAATTTGAAAGACATTTTAGTGGTTTTTCTTTGCGTGTAACGCTAAATCTGATTATTTTAATTTAATTTTAATTAAAATAAGATATTTTAAGAATTTTCATAAATATGATTTTACTCTGATACGTAAATTGCGAGTTACTTTAATTTCTGGGTTAAGTAAAAAATTTCAAAAATACGAAGAGAGATTCATTATGTTTACAAAGATGATAGGCTGTTTATCAAAGAGGATTTTAAAAAAATATTGATCATTAAAAATAATTTCCTTCGATAATGAAAATTCAGCTGGAATCTTATCACCGTTAAGCTATCTGCAAAACATTTTCGTTGTTTTATTTTGTCCTGTAAAGCAAATTCTGATCATTTTAATACTAAAGTTGTTTTGATAACTTTCTTAAATATGATTTACTCCGATACTTAAATTGAGCTCAATTTAACCAGATATCAAAGTAACTCTCGAGAGTTGCTTTGATATCTGGGCTGTGTTAAAAAATTTCAAATATAAGAAGAGCGCTTCACAATATTCACTGAAATGATAAACTGTCTATAAGGGATGATAAAAAAATGATTAATTATAAAAATATAATTTCATTGGGATAATGAACATTTAGCTGGAATCCTATTATTGTCAATCTATCAGAAAAACATTTTTGTGGTTTTTCTTTGAGTGTAATGCAAAATCTGATTATTTTAACTTCATTTTAATTGAAATAAGTTACATTAATGACCTTCATAAATATATTTTTACTCCGATACTTAATTTGCGAGTTAGTTTGATTTCTGTAACGAGTCGAAATTTACAAAAATAAGAAGAGGGTTTCATTACATTCACAAAGATGATAGGCTATCTATCAAAGACGATAAAAAATTATTGATGAAAAAAACTTCTTTCGATAATGAACACTTAGCTGGAATCATATTACCGTCAAGTTATCTGAAAAACATTTTCATGCTTTTCCTTTGCATGCAATGCAAAACCTGGTTATTTTAATTTTAATTCAAATAGCTTTCATAATCCCATATATAATAGGCTGTCTGACAAGGATGTTAAAAAGAAAGATTGATTATAAAAAAATATTTACATTGCAATGCCTTAAACTATTAACTGGAATCATATTACTGTCAAGCAGTCTAAAAAACATTGTCGTGGTTTTCCTTAAGCAACGATCCTCCAATATTAACACAAATTTTGAGTTATTCTGCTTTTCTGCCTTTTTAAAACTGAAAAAGTAGAAAATTTGATTAATTGCTTTTAATTAGCAGAGTAGATGGCTTTTCGCGGACAAAAAGAAATGATTTGTCAGACTATGGTTGGGATATATTCTTTTCTTTTAATAATCGTTCGTGCGCTTGCATCTTGCAAATTAATTCATCACGACATAAACAAGGATTCTAAAGACATTTATAAATAGTACTTTCTGATCAACCCTCTGATCAAATTTATAATAAATGTTACCAAAAGTTATTTTGATAAAAGAGATTTATACTTTTAATTTTCATAAGAAAATGAAGGAATTTATGGTTCCGTTTCTCATTTTAAAAAAAAAAAAGTGTTTCACATATAGCAATTTTGATTATAATGATTATAAAATAACTATAATAAACTAATAAAATTCAAAAGGCCTTAATTCTGTATTTACTTTATTAATGCATACCATATACTTATTTTATTAAAAAAGAAAATTTAAAAAAATAAGCATTTATATTTAAGTTAAAATAAAAACTGGCGCTTTAAACTAGAAACTACAATTGAATAAACAAACAACCTTCTCCTGTTGTACTTAACCAAAGTTCTGAAGACCGAAAATAAACAAAATTGAAACTTAAGTATACCAATGTGCGTAATCCGAATGGTCTCTGGATTTAAAACGTTCAATAAAAAATTAATGCATTTCAAACAATATATAGAACATCTTTAAGTAATATACAAAATAATTTATTGGTTTTCAAAAATAAAAAAAATTTAGAGTTTAAATGCCTTTAACGGAGTATCCGGGGGGGGGAGCCCCCCGGATACTCCGTTAAAAGTCTTTATCCCCTGACCATGGTTCAAACAATAAAAAAATTAATAAATGACGTTGTAACCGTTTGTGAACGGTGTTAAATAAATAATGAAACAATCTCTTTAACGAAATATGACAGGAGCCCTTTCTCTTTTTTTTCGCTTTACATTTGGCTAAGCTTGGCGACATGACGTACTTATAGTTTTGCCGATCAACCAATAGCAGCGTGGAATCATACTACGGTTTCCGAGCATTTTAAAACTCAAATAACTGCATCGTAGTTAGTGAAGTGCACTGAAAAGGTACAAAAAATAAAAAAGACGACGTGATTGTTTTGAAGTTGTAATATGATTGACATTTTC